CAGTGACCAAAGGCTATAGCCTTGGGTCGTTGGCTGGATTTCGGAGCAACTTTAAAAATTCATAAAAAATCCAAATTTGATCGGAATCAACTCAAAGTTGATACACAGCATAAGGACATGTATATGTATTAGAAAAAATTATAAAAATAGAGAATTCTCTCCTGGCCATTTTTGAGAAAATTTGGCCTGTACAAGGCCCATTTTGAGCAACTTGACAATCCACAAATCCATTATCCACTGACACAAGCTGCATGCCTCATATACACATACATGTACATATACATGTATATGTACATGTATATCTGACTGTCATTAACTTACAATAGGCTTGCATACTTAAAATACTTATAGTTAAAGGATTTTAAAGTACTCAATGCTTAAGCTAGTTTAAAACTTAATACATTGTAAGTCCCAAGTGCTTGACCCCAACATTGCTTGAGTCATGGTTGGCCAATGCATAATTAATTCACTTACATCAATGTCAGACCAGATCTTGTCCAGGTCATATCCATTGTCCTCAAACCACTTGTTGAGTGTTGTGATCCTCCTCTTGCTACCACTCTCCTCATCTCTAATGAAGTCCTTACTGTGCTTGTTAATAGCATAATTAGTTAAGTGCATACATAACTCATCCTTAAAGACAGAGAAAAGGAGAAGTACAAAATAAAGGAATGAATGTAGAAAGGAGATAGAGACAGAGGTGCAAGGTGTAGGAGGGAAAAACTTGGTGTGAGAAAGAGGAGGGATATTATGTTTAATTTGCTCCAATTATCACAACCAGTAGCAGACACTTTTTTAAATTTTAGCACCAAGTAACACTAACTGACCCATCAACCCTCTTCCTCTCTCTCTCACCTAATCTCATTCACTTTGCCTATTCCCACCTCAATCATCTTCTCACCCTCTCTCTCCTCTCACTCTCTCTCTCTCCTTCGCTCCCTCCCTTCCCCCTCCCTCCAACCCTCCCCTTCTCCCTCCCTCCCTCCCTCTCTCCCCTCTCTCTCTTCCCTCCTTCCCTCACTCTCTCTCTCTCTCCTCCATTATTCATCATACCATATTAGAATTAGTTGGTTCTCTATATTTCACAGTAGCCAGTCTAACAAGACCGTCCCGATGAGCATACACTCTCAATGGGTCACAGGATGTCACTAGTATGTAGATACGCAAGTCAAACTTGAACTTATCGATAGTAAAGGGCTAGAAAAGACAAATTAATAGATTAAGTACAATATGTACATTGTACATGTACATGTGCATGTATAAGTGAATGTGATTCATCCTACCTTGCTTATGTATTGTTGACATACTAAATGTTCTCCTGGTTTAATGTCCTATGAAAGAAAGAGGAAAGAAAATGACACATCTCAATCATCAATTGCATGTACAGAATTTACATGTACAAAATGTACATATACAAAATGTAC